CTCAAATATGAGGAAGTATAGAATCATTGCACCGATTATCTGGGCAGTCGTGACACTCTGTCCATGTTTACAGCTAAGGGATGAAACACAAACTGTATAAAGACTTATTCTTTGTGAATATTTCCGAATTCGATCCCCTACTGATCTTATATTAGAATATAAGTAGGTATACTATGTTCCCCGCTCTTACTCGCATTAACCACTCTGTCCGCGTTTACAGCTAAGGGATGAAACACAAACTGCATAAAGAATTATTCTTTCTGGACATTTCCGAATTCAATCCCCTACGGATCTTATGCTTCTAATCGGTCTTTTTTGAATTCATTTTATAGATTTTTCACAATTTTTATTAATTTTAGGCATGATAAATTGAAAGGTATGGGTGCAAGCGAAGAGATCACGGACGAAGATGCTCGGCAAATTATTTTCGATATCGAAACTGCATATAATTCATTTACACGTTTCTTGCACAACTCTTAATGTGGCGTCGAGTTATCGTCTCTAGACTTTTGGCATGCCGCCAACTATGTATAATTTGTGAAATTGTTCCACTTATTACAATAACGTATGCTGAAAGGTAAATGCCATTGTGGTCCTAGAGTAATTTGCACTCGAAATCATTAGCCCCTGATATTTCTACCGACAAATTCTAGTGCGCAGCTGTTGCGAACGGAGCCCTTTCTCGAAAATTGTTCTAGGCCAGAGTGCTACTTGTGAAGCATGAGCGGATCTTTGGTAACTGATCTGAAGGATTATGGGAAAACCGGGGATTTTTGGTACATCTCTTATTCCTTCGCTCATTTGTCCTTCTAGGAAGGACTATGAAATACAGCTCAGGCCTGTGGGTGATGCAACTTCAGGCCCTCTTAGCTGCGGGACGGCCCTCAGATAACCTGATGAATCAAAGGAAATAGGATAAAAGGGAACAGCGATAGAAGCCCAGCCAAAATCAGTCGTACCGAGCAAGGTTGACGAGGAGGTCGGAGCAGTGAAGTGGCATTTTGCGGCCCTGAATTCAGTTATCCGGGGATACCCCGGAGGTGTAATATCCTCGGCTGTCTGAGGATATTATATCTGAGTCATTTCGGGTTCCCTTGATGATAATACGGTGATAGCAAATTTGA